ATTATTATTTTTATTATTATTATTATTATTATTATTATTATCCATCCCTCAGATTCTGAACAGTCGCTTCGTTAGCTCGGCTACCATTATGCTGGAAAAGGATAAGAGAAAAGATAAGATAATACTTGATTGCCTCAGTGGGGAATATGGTGCGGAGGGAAACTGTCAAAGCCGCGCCCTTTCGAGAAAAACAAACTATCAGAGCCGCGCGCTTTCGAGAAAAAACAACTATAAAAGCCGCGCACTTTCGAGAAAAAAGCAACTATAAAAGCCGCGCACTTTCGAGAAAAAAGCAAAATATGAAAGCCACGCACTTTCGAGAAAAAAACAAACTATGAAAGCCGCGCACTTTCGAGAAAAAAAACAAACTATGAAAGCCGCGCACTTTCGAGAAAAAAAACAAACTATGAAAGCCGCGCACTTTCGAGAAAAAAAACAAACTATGAAAGCGCGCACTTTCGAGAAAAAAACAAACTATGAAAGCCGTGCACTTTCGCGAAAAAAAAAACTATCAAAGCCGCGCACTTTCGAGAAAAAAAAACTATCAGAACCGCGCACTTTCGAGAAAAAAACCCTATCAGAACCGCGCACTTTCGAGAAAAAAAATTATCAAAGCCGCGCACATTTGAGAAAAAAACAACTATCAAACTGCGCACTTTCGAGAAAAAAAACAACCTATCAAAGCCACGCACTTTCGAGACAAAAAAACTATCAAAGCCGCGCACTTTCGAGAAAAAAAACTATCAAAGCCGCGCACTTTCGAGGAAAAACTATTAAAGCCGCGCACTATCAAATCGGCGCACTTTCGAGAAAAAAAAACAACTATCAAAGCCGCGCACTTTCGAGAAAAAAAACTATCAGAGCCGCGCACTTTCGAGAAAATAAAAACTATCAAATCTGCGCACTATCGGAACCGTGCACTTTTTGACGATATCGGTAAAATGAGCTAGATTGCCGATTCCATCCAACGGTTACAGTCCCCTTGACAAAATTACTCTGTACAGCCCTCTTCCAAATATATTCGTCTTTCTGCAGACGTTAAGCGACTTCCAGACCATTTCTAAGTTGGAATTAAAAACACACAGACCAAACACAAAGGCGCTTCCTCAAGAAAGGAGGGAGAGTGTGTTACAAGCAAATGCACGCAGATGGGCAAGTCTCACAACTTCAATTTTGATCCTGAATGAGCAAGAAAATGCTGCCTGCCCCAACACTTTAAAGATCGCCCCTGTCCTGTAGATATGATTTTATACCTGAAAAGCCTATTCACTCAATACAAAATCTAACTGATATCTGGTCCCAAGCCCAGTAAAACGCTGAAGGTACCGGGAACCGGGTACTTAAATTGTCAGATGGTACTTTGTATTTTGGTAATTGGCAATCTAATTGCATCGATATTGTCAAAAAGTGCGGGGCTTTGATAGTTTTTTTTTCTCGAAAGGGCGAGGCTCGGATGTTCTACATGAGCGGATGGCCCTGGCTCCAATCCGCTTTTGGTCGTTTCTAAACCTAGTTCGCTAAGGAGATTCCACTGCTGTTGTTTTTCTTGGCTCCACTAGATTTGAGGTGAACATCAAAGTCGGAGCTACCGTCTCAAAAATAACCAAACAATGTTGAAATGGGCGCTTAAACCCATCTATCTATCTATCTATCTATCTATCTATCTATCTATCTATCTATCTATCTATCTATCTATCTATCTATCTATCTATCTATCTATCTATCTATCTAT